AGAGAGAGAATGTGTATAGAGAGAGAATGACAACTCTCTTGCAGCCAAGTGGAGGTGGAGGTGTGAGGAGAAGGCCACAGCCCCACACAGATAAATCAACATCACGCGAGCACAACATTTTTCACTTTTAATTACCCGGACGTTATTATTAACAGGCTATTCATTCCGAGCAGTGTCTCTCAGGCACTCAGGTGTCTGTTACCCAGGGCTACAGAATGAGTGAGCCTTCGGTATAGCAACAAGGAACAAACTACAGCCTTTTTAGCGCATACACATATAGCAGCCTGTAACACACCACCAGATTAGCAGATTCTATTATTCAGAACAGAGCGCCCAGTCACTTAGAATTTCATTGTTTATTATGGTCAGTGAACTTGTGAAGGCACTTGTATTGTATTTCCATAGATAGATAGATAGACAGATAGATTGATGGACCGATTGACAGACTGTATGTTCGAAAGTATCCAGACACCCCTTCGAAAAGATGAATTCAGCCTCTTTAAGGTGTACACATCTCCATAGAAAAGCATTACTAATAAAATGGGACACTCTGAAGCATCTGCACAAGGGGCTAAGGCCACCATGTCCAATGCCAAGCATCAGCTAGAAGGGTATAAAGACCCCCAGCATTTGGCTGTGGAGCAGTCTAACTGTGTTTTCTGGAGTGATAGAGCCAATACCTTTGGGACGAGCTGGAGTGTCGTTTATGATCCAACATCAGCACCTGACCTCACTGATGCTCTTGTGGCTGAATACAGTCAAATCATCACAGCAATGTTCCAACATCTATCGTAAAGCCTTGCCAGAAGAGTAGAGGTTGTTGCTATGGCCAAGGGGAACAAACTTCTTATTAACACCTTTGATCTGAGAAGAAATGATGGATAGGCAGGGGCCCACAAATGAATGAATGATAGATAGATAGATAGATAGATAGATAGATAGATAGATAGATAGATAGATAGATAGATAGATAGATAGATAGAGAAATTTGGGAATTATGACATACATTTACACTCTCAGAAAAAAAAAGGTACAAAACTGTCACTTTTATTGTTCTGTTTTAAAACATTGCGTTATGAAAAGGTACAAATTTGTACTTTTTCTCTGGGAAAAACCTATTTAGGGCACATAATTGGACCTTAAAGCTGCTGTTGTACCTTTGAAGGTACATTTACGTTGTTTGTACCTGTAATGAAATATGTACCTGCACAGCATCTTTATTTCTAACAGTGCACTAGACTTTTTACGGCTGTATATGATAACTTCACCGGTGCTGAAGGTAAGAGCAGGGGTTGAGGTGACTGTGACATGCAGACGAACATGATTAGCAATGAGCGCAACTCACCTACAACCATCCACCCACACACACCCACACACCACAATACCATATGCTCAATCACACCATTAACACGGCTCACATACGACAGCTTATTTTAACCATGCTAATGACACACCAAGACACCCTCCTACTGGGACTTGATTTCAGAAGGCCAAATATGACTGAGGAACATTAATAGTAGTGGTGGTTTTGTTTTTGTTGATAGTTTATGAGTCAGTGTCAAAGGAGTTTCAGGCTTTTGAACACTTCAGTGCAGTTGAATTGCACATTTGAACACAGTTTGAATCCTGCACACTGAAAGGCTGAAGGGAAGGCCAGTGCGCTCTACAGCCGGTCAGTCAGTGAGTGAATGCTGAAGAGCGCTGTGAGGCTGGTAGCAGCTTCATGTCATTCTTTTCGGAGTTGTCCCACTGCCTAACTGCGCACAGTGAAGAGGGAAAGTGTTTCTGAGCGTCCCGGCTGCAGCCTCGCCATCTGCCGCTCCGCACAGAAGGAGACTGAGTCACCTCAGCTATTGTCACTCACACGTGAAGACACAGCGCCCTTAACCAACTTTCTAAATCACTGTGTTCCTCTACGAGACGAACACCGCCTGAGTTTAATCCAGGAAGAAGAGTGCTCTGGTCCAGGCCACTCTGCTCATTTATTCATTTTCTTATCTGCCCTATTCATTATATATATATAAATAATAATAATAATAATAATAATAATAATAATAATAATTCACAGAAAAATAATAAATGTACAAAATAATAATTAAACATGCATCATTTCAGATTTTCAGATTCTCGTTTTTTCAATTATTTCTTTCTTTAAAATCGTAATGTTTATTATTATTATTATTATTATTATTATTATTATGCACTTGGAATCATGAAGAAAATTTGCATTATTTCCATCCTAAAATTAAATGCCTTAGATATGTTTCTAGATATTTCTTTACATGTCACACTAATAATCCACAATCAAAAACAACAGAAAATCAAATTGATTTACAGGAGTGACTGATCTTTTTCTGCTAAATCTTCAGTTTTTCGTTTATATATTTTACTCGGATCAGGAGAGGATTGTGTGTGTGTGTGATCTTGTGTGTATGTGGCATTATCACTTTCTCCTGAAAAAAGTCAAATTTTACAATAAAGTTTATCCATAACCGTTTGTTTCTGTCCGTGATAATAATAAAGCCTCAGTTTCGTTTGAATACAGTTTGTTATCTTCTATGCGAGAATCTACGCTGTTTAAATCACTGCAGTCTCAGACAGACAGAGTCAGTAACTCCGGTCACTGCGGCCTCTACAGCGATCGTGTACTGACGGACAAAACCGGTCAGTTCTGCATCTGCCGGACTGCTGGGTTCGAGTGAGAGGACCTGACTGAAGCTCTGTGACTGTTGCGCGCTATATGCCCCTGTTTAAGCCCCTCTGCGCCGTGGCGCTGGTACCTGAGCGCCCGCAGGGCCGCTAAACTGTGAGCGGTAGTTTGAGAGGCTGCGGTAGTTTGAGGGCTGAGCGCGTGCCGCCCGAGGATTAGAGGCCCTGCGCTGCTTCCCTGAAGGCTCGAGCCGCAGTCTGTCGCTCTCTGGCTCTCATCCAACTGCTGCACCAAACGCGGCGCCCCTCTCATCAGGGCCAGGGTCTCCCAGCCAGCCCACCCTCTACTCTCTCACGGTCAGCTCTGAAAAAAAATGCTTGGAACAGCACAGCTCTGTCTGAGTGCCGCTCAGAGCGTCAGATTATATTTTCTAGTTACTGCGCAGTTTGGTGCGTGATTTCATAACTTCACGTTAGATTATAATTCGCTATAATTCGCACTTTTACTTGCACTGATAAGAAGCATTGTGGATGGATAATAATAATAATAATAATAATAATAATAATAATAATAATAATAACTTTTGTTTTTTGCATTTCATTCTTTATTCTGTATGATTTAAAGGTGACTCTCTATGACACTGAGTCTGCTTGATTATGATCATGTTGTCTGACGATGCGCTCATTAAACAGAAACTTGCAGTATTCAATTGATATTTATTTTGCTTTACAAAACAACTTAATGACAGTGTACAAATCTGCACGAGACCAGTTTCAGTGCCTTCCATAATGTACAGTGCTTTACGAGTCCACCACTGAAGACATCCATTACATTGCATAACTGATGGGCGCCAACTACATCATTAAGGCAAAAGGATTTCCCATGGCATGAGCTCACTGTACATGACACACACACCTTTCCACCGAGGAGGATTTTTACATGCTTCAGTTTGGAGTTTAAAAAAAAAGAAATTTGTAGACATGATTGTTTCGAGGCTGTGCGCAAAATCTCCAACATCATATCAACTGACTGTACAACACAAATAAATAAAACAAACAAATCAGTCAATCAAAAAGTGTATAAACAGAACAAACAAACTGTTGCATAATGTAGGTACATTAACGAACTGTAAACTTTCCAAATCATCCTTCATGTCATAAAGCTGTGCGCGCACTCTGACGCTCTTTTTTCTCTCTTTTAGCTTTTTTTTCTGTGCACAGTCTGTAGGTAGAAAACTCTGAAGTGCGAAAATATTATCACAACACCTGCAGGAAATTAGATTGTCCACCATCCAAATGTTCAAGGTCAAAGAAATACAGTCAAACACGTACATTTAGGAACATAATTTATATTTCTGGACAATCGCTGTCTTTGAGGGATAAATATATTCCTATGTTTCAGTGAATGCTTAAAGATTTTGAGTATTGTCGATTCAGGCATTCAGCCGTTCCCACATTTTCACATGTCAAACATGAAACGAAGAGCGGACACGGTGAACATGGCACCTTATTCAGCATCGAGATCAGTAAAATAAAACTCTGGAATGCAAATACATATTTATAGATATATTTATATACACGCGTTTGAAGCTGTCAGCAGTGTGATCCCACTGTCGTGTGTCATTAGCAAAAGGATGATCTGACGTTAGGCCACTTAAGGAGAGGGAGGCAGGGCCTGGTGGAGTTATCATAGGCTCTCACTCGCAAAAGGACGACGTGTGTTGCATAGCTCCCTTTGCATTTATTGCTGTCTTGTATTCGATTTCTTTTTCTACTGATTTCAATTCCACCTCGCAAAATGAACTGTCTTACGTTTATTCTGGGACATACGGACGACTTTGCGTTGCTTTAAATTCGCATAAACGCGATGGAGAGTGGATGGGCCTTATTGCAGGATACTCAGGTTTAAATACCAGACAATCAGGAATCTGGAATAACGCAGATAATTAAGGCTGGAATAAATGTTTAAGCTCCCGTTTATATTAACGCTGTTTTTAATAGTTTGCCATGCCTTCCGTTAACATCAAGATTGTGGTATTTTAATTACTGACTAATTAGTGGGGGCATAATGTTACATGAAACTCCGTAAAATAGTGGTATATATATTTGTGGTTTTTTTTCTTTCTCTCAAGAGCATTCAACGCCGCCAAAATGTTTGCTCCAAGCAAATGCTCCATTCCCTTCAAATCAAATACATAAAACATCAGGTGGCCTACAACCAGAGACACCACCCAACACACACTCCCATAATGCAGAACGACCTTAAATAATGCATGTGCGTGTTAAGTTCGTTATTTTCAGTAATTACCCTGCTCAAAAAAAAGAAAAAAGAGAGCGAGAGACAGCAAAAAAAGAGATGCAGAGAGACGGAGAAAGGGGGTCGCTCGTGCCCCCTTCCCCCCCCCTCATCCGTTATGAAAAGTCGTGCTTAATTCGTCCTGCACGGGATAGAACTGGCCGCGCACGTGGAGGTCGTAAGGGAAGTGCAGGTCAGCGGCCCTCGCGTGACCCCCACCGCCTCCAGCGCTTCCACCGCCGCCGCTGCTGCTGCTGCTGCCGAGCGCCGAGCGGCCTGGCAGCTGCGGCGCGCTGGCTCCGGTACTGCTGCTGGTGCTGCTGCTGCAGTAGCTCCGTGCGCTGTAGTGGCAGCTCTTGGCGTACTCGGCCGCCGCCTCCTCACGCTTGAGCGAAAAGATGCCGCTGAAGCTGAGCGGCGGCGGGGGCGGCGGGCTTAGCGCGCTCTCGAACGGCGGGCTCGAGCACTCGGGCGACGCGCTGTCGTAGAACGCCTCGTACGCGCCGCAGTAGCCGTACGGCCTGAAGGCCTTGGCGCCGTCTTGGTGATGGTGATGATGGTGATGATGGTGGTGGTGAGGATGGTGATGGTGGTGGCCGCCGATGGGGGGCGCCCCAGCCCCAGATGCCGTCGCCGCCGCCTCCTCTGCACCGTGGTACGCCGCGTACACTGCGTCGTACGGAGATCTGGTGGCCGAGAAGGACGCGTCTGCGCCGGGCTCGCCCACAAAGCTGCGCGCGTTCAGCTGCAGGCAGCCGGCCACCAGGTTGGTGGTGGGCTGCGACAGGCCCTTGCACAGCGTGTGCACGAAGCTCAGCAGGTCAGGCCGCTTGCCCGAGCTCAGGATCTCCGACAGTGCCCAGATGTAGTTCTTGGCCAGGCGCAGAGTCTCGATCTTGGACAGCTTCTGCGTCTTGGAGTAGCAGGGCACCACCTTGCGCAGGCTGTCCAGCGCGCTGTTCAGGCCGTGCATGCGGTTCCTCTCGCGCGCGTTCGCCTCCAAGCGCCTCAGCTTTACGCGGTCCATGCGCTCTTTGGTCAGCGTCTTTTTCTTGCGCGGGCCTCGCCGCCGCGCCGCGCCCCCTTCCTCTTCCTCCTCCTCCTCCTCCTCCTCGTCCTCCACCTCGGGCCCCTCGTCCCGCTCGTCGTCGTCCCGCTCCGACTCGTCGTCCTCCAGTGCTTTCAGCCTGTCTCGCGCGTCCTTCTTGAAGGCGCCGCCGTCCGCGCACTCCCGCGGGAAGTTCGCCACGAAATGCGCGTCCATCATCGCCGGCTCGTCGAACGGTAAAGTCAGCATGGTAACCTCGCTGGGGATGCTGGACAGAAAACACGAAACGCACTGGTGACCGTGACTCAAAGCCCGCGCTGCTCTCCGTCTACAAGCACCAAAGCAGCTCCTTCACACGGTATTTACCAAATGCTGCCATTGCTGTTTGACTCTTCTAACTTCTAATGTGCCAGATTGAGGTCAGCTCAGGGGGAAATCACTGGGAAGGGGACATACATTCTCATACACAAACGCAGCACAGTCCCCTAGAGCTGAATTTACATCTACGGTTTTGAGTCATCTACAATTTTGGATTAACACCTACAGTGTTGAATGAACACCTACAGTGTTCATTTAAGTCCAACTGGACCCAAATGACCATTGTAAGGGGATACAAATGACCCAAATGAACACTCTAAGGGGGTTGTGCTGTGCAGCTATAGCTATTCAAACACAGATATCAGATTAAAAATAAAATCAGCCCTTTGCAACTGATATCAGCCAAAAACATTCCGGACAAGCCATACATACAGCAGTCTTAAAGCATCCGTCCTGCCTGTCTGCCACCTTCAACCTGTTTCATCCCCCTTTTGCAAACCAATTGTTTATTCCACAGAATGAGGAGGGAGGGGGAGTGCATGGCACAGGCATCCCGACAACACACGCATGCAAGCTCACACACCTACATACGCGCACACACACACACACACACACACACACACACACACACACACACACACACACACAACACGTTCATTTGTACCTGTATTTTTTTTTTGGTGGAGGGGGGTCAACAGGCAGTCTCCATGTCCCTCGGCGTGTTCAACTTTTTCCACGCTGCTTCGGGTGTGTGTGTATGTGTGCGCGCGCGCGTGTGTGTGTATGTGTGTGTGCGCGCGCACGCGCTCCTCTCGCCTCCCCGCCGCTCTCTTTTCGCTCTCGCAGAAATGACACTGATGCCAACTGCCAGAGCTGGTACCCATGCCATCTGCCGCTGACGTCACGTGGCCGCGGCCGTCACGTGACTCCGTCCCGGGGGGGGGGCGTGATGCCTCCCTGATCATCTGGCATGCCTGTAGCAGGGCAGCACTGGCACAGCACAATAAAAAAAAAGCCCAGAAACGACAGACAAACACCAGCCATAATCAGATGACGTGGTCGGTAAAGGCATGCTTTAGAAAATGGTATGATGTAACTGTGAAAAATATCAGAATATCAGGCTTCGTTTGGGTTATTCACTCTGATTTAACGGGCCAGAGAATGGGACACATAAAGCATTATATATATATATACTATATATATATATATATATATATATATTATATATATATATATTTCCTAAATCTATTTCTATTCTGATAATATAATAAGTACGAAGACTTATTATATTATATTATATTATATTCGATTATATTATAAGTAACACTTTATTTTGCTGGTCCACTATAGATGTTTTGTAGATGCTCGGTCTGTCTTTTAAGTAACATTTGAATAAATATCTGCTAACTGCAACTGAATCTGAAGTTGCTTGTAGAAAATTCTATTAAGTCTACTAATATAATATAATATAATATAATATAATATTATATTATATTATATATAATTTATGGCAAAACCAGCCATGATTTTGGGGTGTTTGGTTTATAGCAAAAAATCTGTAGAATATGTAGAACATGTGGAGATTCATTAAACTTGAAAAATGTTTTTTGCGCTCATCTCATCTCTCATCTAATTAACATGAACAGTTTTTCCATTCTTCCATTAACTGATTGTGATTGTGTGAAGTGGTTGTTCTAGGACATCCAAAGAACTCTTTTCGACACCTTTATTTTTACAAGTGTAAGGTAAAGTTTCTTTTAGCAAAATAAAAGTAGAATAGTCAGATTGCTTGGTGACAGCAAGTGCTGGATGATTGATGGCTCTTGTCTACTGGGTCAAACCCATCAAGGGCGTTTGCCAACTGGCTGAGCTTGTGCTGATTCTCACCGTCAAGGCCATACTGAGCTGACTCTGAGCTAAATGCCATGATGAAGACAAGCTGATTAGACATAGAGAAATCAGAGAAACACTGGACACTTGATAGAGAGAGTGGAGATAGAAAGGAGCGTGTAGTGTTGAGCCCTTTGATTTTAAACTTCCCTGGGAAATGAATCAGTCTTGTGTATGATGCCAAACTTCATTATTTTGTGCTGTTTTATATACTTCTTTCAGAAGAAGAGATATAGTCCTATGCGAAAGTTTGAACAGCCCTGTTCAAATAACGTGTTATTGATTTTATAAGTGAAAATAAGTTACCAAACCCTTACAATTTTAGAGCACAATTTGTATTTATTTGCTGAATTTAACAAATTGTAAAAAGTAAAACATAATGTATTAAGTGTACCATAATCTTTACACATGCAACATTTTATCATTTATTTTTCCCCCCAGTATGTTAAATAATAAAGAATAAATGGGCATTAAAATGTGCAAAAGTTTGTTCTCTGTAGAGGATGTGTTACTTATTTTCACTTGGAAAGTCAACAATACATGTGACTTGACCAGGGGTGCCCAACTTTAGTTTAGAGATAGAGAGAGAGAGAGAGAGAGAGAGAGAGAGAGAGAGATGGAGATGGAGATTTTAGTCTGATGGCCTTGGTGACCTGCGCATCTGGCCATTTCTTGTAGTAGTAATTGGCCAGAACTGTGACTCTTTCCATGCTGAGACATGACACCCATACATTCCATTATCAGTGAAAGGTCCTGCAGCCACACACACACACATACACACACACACACACATACGACCCCACTCATTTATTATTCACATCAGAGAGCGAGTTCCTGAAAATGCCCCAGGTGCTACCCTGCACAGATTTGAAAGGCAGCCCGAAAATGCCAAATTGTGCATACATGACAAACAAAAACACACATACAATTATTGTTTATGATTATTCTGTTGTTTAACCTGATGTTGTAATACCATGTGACCAACGAGTGAAAGGAATAATCTGTTATACACAAAACTGTGTACTCAATGGATTTCCCCGTAGTTACAATGACAATGGACATACCTGTTTAACACAGTGAGATTTAAACTAAAGGTATTAACGTAAGTTATCACAGGCCCATACGTTTACAATTAAATACTGCATTTGGTTGCAGAATACTAGTTTATGCTCACACATTTATTGTTATAATATCATGCACAGACAGACAAACACACAAACACACAACCCACAAACACATAACAACAACAACAACAACATAAATCGTTACCCCCCCATGCCTCAGCTGGTGACGGGCTTTCTGGTCCAGTACACACACCAACATCTGATGAGTCAAACTTCCCATTTCAGACTAATCACTTGACTGCACTAATTGCAAATGCAAATATGCAAATTCATATTAATTAATTACTCTGTTAATTAGTTCTCTGGTCTTTTTGGGCAATAAATCATTGTGCAGGAGAAAGGAGAGAGTGCAGGCCCGGCCCCATTTTGCATAAAAAATTTAGCATGCACACTTAGAAATAGACTCTGCCTGCTGCCAAAAAAAGAATAGAGGGGATATAGTCCCCCCTTTAAAACGTGGCCACTGAAGTTGACGCCTGCTCCCCGGCAGCTCGAGCCTCAGACCCAGCAGACAAAAAGAGGAGGAATGGGGCTTTCACATGGAGAGCACACATATCAGACATGCTGTCTGCCAGTGATTTAATTAACACATTATCAACTTTTAAAGACAGAGGGATGCCAGGCCCAGGCTGCAAATGAAGGCACTGATGTTCACACGTCAAGTGGTGTATGCGCACGCACACACACAGAGACACACACACATATGCGTGCAAATCAGACACTCATTGAGATCGGCAACTCTGCTAAAGATGGCCTTTTGAGTCTCAGCTGCCTGCTTAGTCCTGCCACTAACCAGTGTGGAGGGTGAGAGCCTCCAGAACGGGAAATATTTCATCTGCATGTAGGACAGTATCAGGATATTGTTTTTTATCATATTTTGCACAGTGATTTGTTTTTTATTTTTTTCAATAACAACAATCTTGAAATAGAAGAATATGTGAAATATTTTCCTGTACGCCAAGAACAGACTGTTTTGATGTTTTTCCACATCTCATTTTTACTGTGAGTAAACTTTGGTTTGATGTTGTTCTAGTGATAAAATATGATAAAATAAAAGCAGAAGTGTCAACGCAGATAGGTACCCAGGTGTAAGGCTGTCACTGTGTTAATGGTTAGACAGTGTGGCACATGAATAATGCATGGGTTTTTAAAAATGTATAATGTAAATATCTCAGAGAAGGGAGGAGGAGGAATGCACACAGTGGAAACTGTTGCTTTAAAAAGGCTTTAGAGAAACATTTTTTTTTTCCAAAGGAATATGAGCAATAAATCATTTCTCTTGTGAACGTGATCATATAATTTCATCAGTCTTACTGTGAACACAATTTGAAGCTTTATTATAAGATAATGGGTTTGCGTCCTTGACACCAGGGAACACAAAGGTGTCATGCAAATGAGATGAAAAACCTAAAAGTCACAGCCTTCACCTTCATTGTATTATATTAAAAATCATTAGATCTACTTTAATAGTAAAATTTCTTGCTGTTGGCAGATTTTAGGTAAATAGATAAATAAATATCAAACTAAAAGCATTAAAATCACAAATTAAGAGCTGTGCAGAATGTTTGCTTTCTTCATGATTTACAGGAGGTAATTTTTCTGTGTTGTAGTCTAGACATTATAAGAAGGTAATAGCAAAGTTGTATGTGTGAGTGTGTTAGATTTTATGTGTGTCTGTGTGTTCACTAGGGAACAGGGAAGGGATACATGGTGCCAGGAAGTGTTGCTGTGAGAGTTATTGATTTCAGGACTGTGCCAGATACGTCCATCAGAAATGGCTTTGTTCCGCCCTTTGGCTGCCGGCTCACCTGCAGTCCTGCAGGACGGTTTGAAGCGTAGTCACCATCCTGCTGCTGTCACTCAGTAGCTGCTGTTAGGTGACTGCTGAAGCCTACATGTTGCTGGGAGATGGGAGGTAAGTCTGGCACTAACATGTTTGGCGCTAAGATTTGGAAAACTGGTGCTACCTGCCCTGTTCCCAGTCCCTATGGAGGCAGATACAGGGCCAGAGCTGTCCCATTCCATGCAGCCCATGCCCAGTCAAGATTAGGGACTCCTGCCTCAACACAAGTTGGGCTTCTTCCT